AAAGAGCAGTTTTGCTAAAAGTATTTATTGAGCTATTGGGCTCGCGGAAGTAGGTCGTGAACAAAAGGCACGGAGCACACAAAGATTTCTTGAAATAACAAAAAAAAAAAAAGTCTAAATGTCATTAATAACTTGCACTTTGTTCTCTTTCTGCCTACCCATAAATGTATAGCACACTATCTGAGTCTCTCTCTCTCTCTCTCTCTCTCTCTCACTCTCACACTCTCGCCTTAAAACTCTATTTCACTCTCCGCCTTTAGTTGTTTCACTTTCTGTCTTCTTTGCGTTTCTCTCTATTTCAAGCGCTCTATACATCTCTCTTCGCACATCTGCTTGATATAGACTGATGAAAATAGATAGATAAGATTTTAAAAGAGGGCCACAAAATATTTAAAGATAACAAGTTTTAAGTTATATATCGGCATTGAGAGGCCGAAAGATATCATTAGCAGGTCTATTGCCTGTTTGAATCAATCGGCTCTCTGATTTACCTCTCCTCAGTTCATATTAAAATCATTAGTTTATGAGTTCAGTAATACCTAGACCCAATACCCTACACCAAGCAATAGAGGAAATTCACCCAAAATATATTTTTTGAGGCTTATCTCCAAGCGTCAGTATCGCTTTAAAGACACGCCCCAATCGATTAGGCACACGAATGGAAACTCATCTCTGAATGCTGTGTCAACAGAGGGCGAGAAAAGGCCAGATCAATGTTATCTATATATACATATAGATGTGCAAATATATATATATATATATATGTATATATTCGATTTGAATATTATGAAGCACTTAGTCTAGCTCAGCTAAACGCCAATTTAGGGGTGTGAATTTAACGCTCGCTTTGCACACTTTTCAGGCGGCAGCTCAGCTGTTTATGGAGGGCAAATATTGACGCGAAAAGTAAATCAAGGCAAAGACGGACGTACGTACTCATATGCATTAATAAACACRTATTGCTCTATCTGCTGCGGGCTTTGCCAGAAATCAAAATTGTTTTTATTATACCCTTCTTGCCGAAAGACGAGCTAAGGTATACTCATAGAATCATAAAATCTCTCGTAGAAAATAAATAAATATACCATACGTATCAAGTAGATCAGATCATGTGATTGGCCAGGTTGCTTAAAATTAAAATTGGGCTGATTAACTAAACAATTCATTTCCTTACCAAAAGAGATATAAATCTATATTTTCTGACTCATTCGGAATGAACTAAATTTCTATAGTAATTTGAGTATAGAGTATCTAACAATCGTAGACTATTCGCTGTAATTTTCCACTTGTACTTTTGCTTGTTTCCTAGTGCTTATCAGTGCGTCTAAGCTGATGTGGCTCTACAATATTTTTATTGACAGATAATGCAACGGAACAAAGACAATTTGCACTTGATCAAATATTGTAGAGATTATGAGTGCTGAATGGCATCAGCTTTGATTTTTCATAGCTTGAGGGTGTTGGGGCTTAGGTCAACTAACGCCTGATTTATACAATTAAAATGAGACTAAGTCTAACCTGCCAAAACACGAATCTAACTRCATAATTTGCATTTAGAATGCGAAAAAATATCAAGTGAACAAAGGCCAGACTGCGCTTTTGTAATACTCTGTCGACTGAAGCGAAGTGTAGTACATTTATTTCTTTATTATACATATACATACATATATATAGCATATATAAATATATATAGATTGCATTTCTGCAGAAACAGCTGTGCTGCCTTTCGATGGCTGCTCTAACACTCGGAGCGTGTAAACAAGTCGCTGAGAATGCGCTCATTTGCATGACTTGGCAAGAAAAAGCATTGAGATAAAAACATGTAGCATGAGTAAGCCAATCAGGTGGAGAGCCTCACCCCACCMCAGTGCGCCCAGTCTTAGATTGCGCATACGCCACATACGCGGGGTTCACAAAGCTTTAGCCACAAATTATAGCGAGAAAAAAATAAAAA